GCATTTTCAAATGTAAGAGGGACACTTCTGTCAGTGGGAGAACAGGTGACTGCATCTGTAGGTGAGCTCTAGGGTTGGTGTGTGTCAGCACATGTGTGCTTGTGGTCATATGTGTGAGCTGGAGGCTGACAGATATATGCATACACATGCATCCCGTGTGTGTGTACAAGTGTACATGGGGAGATGCAAGCATGTATGAATCTCAGTATACATGTTTTTATCCATGTGCTAATAGATATGTGTATTACCTACACAAAAGCAAGAGCCCTTTTGCCTGTCAGCCTGAATGAAATAGAATCTCAGACTGAATTTACTGTTTCTCTCTTTAATTCCCTTTGTTTGAAATCAGAGCTGTGATAGGGAAAAATGAAGCAGGGAGAGTATCCCTTCCTGCCCACGGCATGTCTGAACAGTATGGCTGAATATACATTCATTGTATGCCTCAAGTGGGTGGGTGAGCTATTCAGGCCAGGACAGAAAGCCCGTCTGTGTGTGTTAATCAGTTCACCATTCCTGATTTGGGTTTTCTATAAAGAGCCAGAGACAGTTTGTTGCAGAGGGGGAGAACTTCCTCCAGCTGTGCTAACCCATTTGTCTAGTATCTATTGAATCTGCCTGAGATGGAGAATGTGGTCCCAGGCATGTTATTTTACTGCTTTGAAACCAAACACAGCAGCCTGACTCTAGATAAGGATAGGACAGGAAGATTTAACTCTTCGGCAGCCAGTAGCCTTGTGCTTTGTTTCCAGCACAACCTCAGCTGGCAGTTAGGCTGATGGCATTGGCTCCTGCTTCTGCTGGGACGGAAATGAAGAGCAACCCAGGGCAGTAACGTCTTCCAGCAGCAGCATCAAAGGGAGCCGAGGCTGCCAAGTTCAGTCTGAGCTGCAGGCACCAGTGATTGAAAACAGGCCCGTGCCTGGAGGAGCCAACGGATTGGATCAGGCTGCATACAACCAGCTCCTTGTTTGTTTTTAATTTCAAAGGAGGGCACAGCCAATCCAGCCTCAGGACTGCTGTCAGCAGGGGGCAGGGGTGGGGGTAGGCAAAGGGGAGTGTAGCCACCTCAGCTACACAGACCTGTCAGGCAGAGCAGAAGACAGGGCAGCATTGGAGAGGACACTGTCTCCGCTCCTAAACCTGCTGCTGCTCAGCCTCGGCAGACCAAGCCAGGAGGTGATGCTAGTTACACTAGGTCTGCCCTAAAGACACCTGCCAGCATAGGCTCTGCCAGCTAAGGGGTATGATCCTGACTTATTATTATTGACTGGCACAGCCATGCTGACAGAGTCTCCTACACAACAGTAAACCTGTGCTTGGACTGGCATAGCTTGTGCTGCCTGGTGGTGAGAGAGGCTGGATTAAAAGTGCAGCTTCCCCCATATAAGCTTCATCCACATTACAAGTACTTCACCAGCATAGTATACTGATATTCCCGCACTGGTAAGATGTCCTGGCATCAGCAGAGCTTCAGTTTAGGTGCTGCAATGGCCGGAGGACTTTTCTATGCTGCATTCCCCACAGCGAGCTGTCTTGGTGGAAATATGTTTATGGGAGATTCCAGCCTTTTCCCAGCTTGTTTTTATGTGGATTTAGTTCCAGTGGTGTGAGCACTGAGTGAGGAGCAGGTTTATTGCAGTGGGGACATGACCCTTGAGTTAGAATTGCATCTGTAAATGGAGACCTCTGTCATCAGCATTTGTTTGTTGTTAACTTGAAAGGGAAAGATACTGTTTTGGTGACCGGATTAGGATAGTGTCTCCCTCCAGTCATGTATAACGCCACAAGCACGGCTGGGCCTTCAGCTCTGACATCTGGATTGGAAGCAACATGACTTTACAGCTCGGTCTCTTACCTTAAGGCTGGTAGCAGGCTCTTACATCTCTGTGTGGTCCAGCTCTTGGAAGGGGAGAGGGCCTCACTGTAAGCAGGGTTCCCTGTGCTGTGAGCGGGGGTGTGGGATGGGCTGTGACCTGGAGTGCCGGTAAAGAAAGCCTCACCTCCTCCAGTCACTCCACTCCCATGTTCTCAACTCGAGGAGTGGAAGAATCCCTACCTTCTCAGTTTTTCCCATTATGGCTCTCGCGCACAGGCTTCCCTGATGCGTCTATCATGTCCTCTCTTCCTCCCAGCCCAGTAAGGTTAGTGAGAAGGAGAAATGGGTTTCCGAGTCACTTGTGAGGGGGTTGGGGATAGAGAGGGCCTGTGTAGGCATGGAAAAAGAGAGGTTTGAGGAAAATTGGGGTGGTGGTAGAGCACAGTTCAGTTCCTGATGGGCCTGGAGGTTGCTAATGAGGAGGCTGCTGTGATCTTTCCATAACTGCTGAAAGCAATTGCTTCTGAAGACTAGGTCCTCCAAGGGGAAGAGGAATCAGCGGCTTAGACTGACTCTAGGACATGCAGCCTTTTTTCTCCAAGTCCCTTGGTTTGGCCTAAGTCAGCAGTGACTAAGTAAACTGGAGACTGGCTGAGGCTGATTTTGGACTTGCTCAGATATCATGGCCTGTGTTCAGAAATGAGTCTGAAACCTAGATGGTGCTAGGAAAGAGGAAAAGGTTGAACAGACAGAATGAAAGATGGGCAGAGGCCAGGAGTGGGCAGAGGCCAGCAGTGTGTGGACAGAGAAGCAGGAGGAGGAGACTCGCAGCAAATAGGTCTTCACATCTCCTTTGAGAACCCCTTAGTTTCTGCATTAGCAATGAGCCCCAGCCCTAGTACCCAGTCAGAACTGGGAAGTCCACTCCCCTGTGCAACTCACAGCAAACCCATTCTTGAGAGGCAGCCACAGCAGAGAGGCCCAGCCCAAGTGGAGCTCTGTAGGCCTTGCCATCTCAGCTCTTGTGTCAGGGTGGAAGGGAAGTGTGAGACAATGCAAAGAAGTTTGTTCTGCTGCTCTTACCCACTCTGCAAGTGCCGAGTACTTCAACACCTCTGAGACAGCAAGGCTGTTGGCCTGGCCCCTTTGCCAGCATGACATTTGCTTGAAAAATTGTGTAGTCATTTTTTTTTTTTAATTTCAGGAAGACCTCTGGTGGAACTGCACACGGGCTGAACACACAAGGACAAGGGGCACTTGATTGGTTTAGAAAGCAGCATGTATTCACATATGCACACATTCTTTCTTACCTAACTTACCAATAGCCTACAGAACTCCCTGCTTTGGGCTATTATTGAGGCATACATGTGTTAGGACTTACATGTAGATTGAACACTGATGTGCATGGGAACGTAAATCTGCAAGAACACTAACTAGAAGTTGCCTAAGGATGATTGACTCTCAGCTTCAGCATACAAGCTGGTCTCCAGATGTGGTCAGGAAGGGAATTTCCCTCCACCATTTTCCCAAGTACGTGGTTTTGGGATGGATTATGCCTCCCTTTGACATAGCAAGGATTGGCTTCTGGCAGAAAGAAGATGCTAGACTAGAGGCCCAGTGTTTCAGAGGTCAGACACATCTCACATTGACATGAGCATGAATATCCTCAGCAACAAAAGTGCAGGCTTAGGAGAGATAGGGAGCACAGATCTGACCTAGTATAGCAGTTCCATTGTGTGATAGCAAATGGTGGCTGGGAAATTTCTTTCCTTATCTCCTGTGAAAGCAACACTTAAATGGAAATGCAAAGTGTGTCCGATTATAGTCTGTTATATGTGACACACAGTATGTGTTACTCATAAATTGGCCAAGAGTATACTATACACCCAGCATTATGTGGAGCAGTATTTTCAGTGATGTAAGATTAAATGATGGGTATTGGAGGTCTGACCCAAAGCCCACCCAAATCAATGGAAAGCCCCCTTTTGTCTTCAGTAGGCTTTGGATCAAACCCCATTTTGCTATCATCTGGTCACATGTAAAATTGAATAAACTTTGGCAGTGTACCATTTGTCTAAAATCTTCACTCCCAGAACAAGTGACTGTTTTAATGCTATATCTTCTGCACTGCCTCAGTGGCACTCTGTAGGACTGTTGCCTCTGGATGGGTTCATGGGGCTCTTCCCTTGGATTTTGGATCTAAGAACAGGCATCTCTTTGCTGTGTACTGAAATGTCACAGTAAACCTGGAGCAAGTTTAGCAGCTGCTCCCACTAGCTCAAGCCCCAGTGGAGGGAGAAGAAGCACCACATTCAAGAAGTTACATAGAGTAGGTGCAGCTTACATGAATGTGTGAGCCCCAATCAGACTTTGGGGGGAACATAAAGATGCATTCACATTATATCAAGGAAGAAAGAACTGAAAGTGTGAGCGCTTTCATGGTGTGTGTGTGAGGGGGCAAGGCAAGTTCTAGGAATGCTGGTGAACCTGGGTTGACTCTGTTTTAATTAATGTTATTAATCATTTTTTATTAAAGAAACTGAAATGTAAGGCAAAAGGCCACTAGTTCGTAAACATCTTTTACACCAGATGATTTGTTGCTATCAATCCCTGGTCTTTTTTAATGTGGATAATTGCATTCTGGTTTCTTAAATCTTCCTCTGGCGGTTTCAGTGGGATGAGCTGGCAATCAACAGCTCTGCCTCACCCAAATATAGCTGTGCCCAGCGGCAGATGAAGCAATTCTGATATGCAAAGTCAGGGCACCCATTTCAGACTGGTGCTTCAGGGCCCTTTGGGTGAGATGAGATATAGAAGTGTAATCATTCAGGCAGTCTGCTGGTTATTTGTATAGTCAGAACAGCTGTAGGCAAGTATAATCAATGCCAGTCTCTTTTGTACTTTTCTTGGGGCCAAATATTCACCTCATTTGGGTAGCTTCCCCAGTGGGAGCTGGATAGAGGTCAGCATCTCATACTCTGCATTCAAAGCAGAACAAAATTATTAGCTTGTAATTTTTCTTGATTTATTTTTGCTAATGCCGGTAGAAACAGGGTCCATTCTCCCTTCATGTGACTCACAGCTCCCATTCCCCCAATCCTACCCTGGCCTACTCACAGGCTTTGGGAGGAATTAAAATGAACTGAAATAAAAGTTAATGCCATACGGTGTCTCCCATTGGCAGGGATCTTCGGGCAGCGTTTGGAGGACACAGTGCAATATGAGAGGAAATATGGCCAGCGGCTAGCCCCACTGCTTGTGGAGCAATGTGTGGATTTCATTCGGGAACGAGGCCTCACTGAGGAAGGGCTGTTCCGAATGCCCGGCCAAGCCAACCTAGTCAAGGACCTTCAGGATTCCTTTGACTGTGGGGAGAAGCCCCTCTTTGACAGGTGAGTGGGTGCCTTGGTCACTAGAAGTGAATGAGCATCAACTTCCAGTGTTAATCAGTGGTGTGTGAAATGCTGCTGTAACATCCTTGCTTCTGAACATACTCCCAGTTGGGGCAGTTTCAGAAGGTGCTTATTCCAGACAGCTGACCTCTTCACTTAACTTGTACCATGTAGATTTAATGCTTTAAAGCAGCATTTCTAAACTGGTGGGTTGCAGACCAAAAGTGGGTTGCACGAAAGTCCCAGAAAAATCCAATCCACGAAATAAGGGATAGGGAACTGCAGATCAGAAGAGAAGGGCACCAGCATGGCCTAGAGGGTCAGAGGGCTGTGGCTTGGGGGTGAGGGGCACCAACAGGGCCAGGGGTCTATGGCTTGGGGATGAGGGCAGGGTCCAGGGGAACAGGGGACTGTGGGTCGGGCATTGGCAGGGCAAGGGGGGTGTGGGTTAGGACAAGCCATCCATCTTGTTAAATGGCTCCCAGTATGAAAAAGGTTGAGACCCACTGCTTTGAAGTGTGGGATGCTCTCACCCACACCCAGCAAAATGCTTGAGCAAGGCCTGAACCCTGAAGCAGATGACTTGACTGGGATTGCTGACATCCTTCAAAGAAAACCCAAGCTGAAGTACTTTGCTGGGCTGGGGCCGGCCGGCCCTGCTGCTTACAAGATCTGGCTGTGTATCCAAGTTGGTATGAATGATACCACAGTTGGGTATGATCCCTGCACAGAGTTGGTTGCCTGCAAATACAGGGTCCTTTCCCACCACATGCTGTCTCTCCAGTGAGACCTCAGCTGCATTCCCCCCATGACACTTTGACTAAGACATAGGAACCATGAGAAACACCCTATGGGATGTTTCATAGTTTCATAGCAGCTAGGATCAGGAGGGACCTGAACAGATCATCTAGCCTGACCCCCTGCCACAGGCAGGAATGAATGCTGGGTGTTCTCTGGACATTACATATTACATTACACGGGGTAAGGAAATGTTCTCTGGACATTAAATATTACATGTGGAGAGCTGGGTAGAAAATTTGTAGCAAAGCATTTTGTGAAGAAAACCGATTATTTTTTAGATGGATTTTTTTGTGCTGTTTCTGTTTTTCAACAGAAGCCTAAAAGAAGCAAAGAAAAATCTTAATGAAAATGGCCGTTTTTAAATGGAGAAATTTAATGGAGAAAGCCCACCGCTTCTCACGTAGAAGTGAAGGGCAAGCTGCAGTGCACTCCACTCTGCATTGCCCAGTGCTTTTCCCTTATTTCTAGCCAAGATGGTTCATCCTTGCAGCACTGATCCTCTCTTGACTTCAGCCTCTTATGCCAAACTTCATTCAGAAATTAATCCCAAGTAAGAACCCAGATCCCATTCCCCCCCACACACACACACTGTTGGTGTTCAGGGGATTCAGATCCAGAGACAAATCTTGGACCAGGCTCATATCTCTAGTGATCTAAATCAAAACCCAGAAGCAACCACTGGAGTGTGTGTGTGTGTTGTGGGGAGGTTGGATCCTAACTTTGTGAGCAGGGCCCTTTGGGTAGTGAGTTTAACAGACAGTTGAATAGGAAACCACCTAAGACTATTTTTACAGGTGACCTAAGCAGCACTACCAGGCCTTATGGCTGAAGCAGTAATCAGTGATACCACTTCCATTCTGGCCTGTGGCTGATGGGTTGTATTGTGCTTTATGTGAATGCTGCACATCCCTGAGTCTGCGATGCTGTTACTCATTCTCAGCCTGGAATGTCCTGAAAGAGTTTATTGGAGACATTCTTCTAATTCTTTCCTCCCTTTCTGTTCCTGGCCACCCATCCTCCTTTCTTTGATTTTTAACCACAGTCAATATTTGCTCAATAAGTGGAATTGTCAAAGAAGAGTTCACCCCCACTGTGGCAGTTCAAGCATTATGTTCCAGCTGATGGTATATAAGCAGCAGCTGAATGTGCATGGCTTCCATTGCTCAACACAGCAGACAGGAGAAATATCTCTGTTGCATGTGCTTGATGGCATTGCTTGGACTGAAAACATGCAACAGCCTCCACACTTAGCAGTGGTGAAGTCTTGACAGAGTGTGGTTTTTTCCCAGTGAAACTTCTTAGACACTGACAACCCAAACCTGCCTAGTATTTTGGCAGTGATCATGGTTGAGATTTTGACTTCTCACCCTTATTCAAGAGGGGAAAAAATCTTCCTTGGAAAAGAAAATCAGCTCCCTCCCCCAAAGTGTACTACTTACCCCTTTTCAGTGGCATCACATGCCCACGATACACTGAGGATGCTTTGTGCAGTCAGTTGAACTGCAGGTTTCCTCTTCGTGATCTTGGTTTGGTTCCATGTTCTGCTTCAGATTGGCTCTCAAAACCCAGAAAATCAGGTCTTTAGGGAAAGGAATTCAGTTTCTCTTTACCTCTGATCCCTAGTGCTAGTGCCCCTTCCGTTCTCATAGAATTGGTGTGTGGATAAATGTATTAAGGACTGTTAGCACTTGCAATGGTATATGCCTAGGGGGATGATAATAATTTGAGGGAAATCCAGGATGGGGTAAGGAAATCTGGTACTGAAGGGATGGCAGAGGGTGCCATTGCATGTGTGCGCGTGCGCGCGCGCGCACACACACACACACACACCCCCGACCCCATGGCTTGCAGAAGGATTGCGGGGATGTACATATATTCACCCCCGTCCCCCACACACAGCCCTGACCCTGTGGCTCCCAGCTGTGGGCCTGGGAAGGACAGCATACCGTACACACGCAGCCCTGAACCGATGGGTCCCTGCATGCACCCCTCCCCTGACTACCATACAAAAGACTCCCCTCGCAGCCCAGTAGGGTCTGACTCAGGAGCCTCATATGCCAGTGGGTTCCTGCCAACCTGGAAATTTTGCTTCAATTTTCTGCAATAGTTGGGATGCTGAGACAGCCTCCAAAATCCAGGACTGTTCCAGCCAATCCAGGTCATATGGTCACCTTATATATGCCCCAGCAGAATATTGTGCTCCTCTATGGTCCAGAAGTTGTCTCACTAAAAAGCTCAACACTATCCTTAGCAGCGTGCTGAGATTCATAACAGGCTGCACAACGTACACAGACACCCATGTACTCCCTGTACTCTCAGGCATTAGACTAACCGATATAGTAAGACAGGCCCTAACATCATTCCTGGTGATAGAAGCAAGAGATGATGAAAATCACCTGCTCCATCAACTGTTAACTGAAGGGTCAAACAAATTGAGGCTTAAGTGGCTCAAAAGTCATAAACCATTTGTATATGAAGGCCACAAGCTTCTGGAAGAGATTGGGGATACGGAATCAAATCTATGGGTAGCAATGGAGTGGGCTGACCATTAGACTTGTTCCTATGGTGTTTTATACCAACACCAAATGAGTACCCCATTGGGTACAATCTTGGCAGAGAAGTGAGGGTCAAGCTCAACAGATTGAGATCTGGTTCTGGCTACTTCAAAACAGCACTGCACAAGATGAACATCTTGGACAGCCCCCTGTGTGAAGGTGGTGTCCAACAAATAGCACAGCACAGCTGCAATCTTTACAAGTGTACAGACAGGATAGATAGAATCCGCACATTGAGCCGTAATACCAGACAGTGGCTCATAGATTTAGAAGTTGCTATCTGATGCCATATGAAAGAGAAAGAGGTGTTCAGACATGCCAGGGCTAGGGGCCAGAAAAGCACCTAACAAAGAGTTGTACAGAGAAGGTATAGCGCAGGCAACAATAGGACACGCTTCTCCCACAGGATATGTTTTGGGCAGACCCTGGTTGGAACTCCCAGTGTGTTCAGTGAGAGTTGAGGGCAGGACTTGGCTCTCCATGCTGGAGAAGCAGCTCTTTTTGCTTTTGCAGAATAGATCCAACCCTTGTACTCTCGGCGGGGGGGGTCCCTTTTCAAGCAGCTTCCTTCTGTGCCACTGACTAAGAATAAAATAGAACTTGCTTCTGGACTTTCTGAGGACAGAGGAGGGAATCCCTTTCCAGGGGTATCAGTTTCCATGTAAATCACTTAGTCGCAATGAGTTTGGATTGACACAGTTGCATCAACAATTCTAAATAACCTAAAAACTGGGCTTCTCTACAGAGCAGATACTGCACGAGCAGAGACAGGGAAAGCTTCCTGAGATTCTCCACCACTGGAGTTCAACTCTTGCCTGGAGGAAAATCCTCTAGACAGCTGTGTCTAAGAGAACATGGAGAAGAGCACCATTCACAACCACTAACCTGCTCAACCTTGGATTATGGCCAAAAGACCATCTTCTGGGTGCAAAGTGATAGTTATGTTTTGTGCCAAGTCTGTGCTTAGAAGCAAATGGAAGTCAGGGACTCATTTCCCTTAGTCCTGTGTACAGTTTCCAAACTGTAGAAAGGAAAGGCTCCATGTTCCATCCAGTTCATCTAGTTTATTGCATTCGGTGGCATTTTGCAGCCACAATAGTTATGGACGTTACAGCCTGTTTAACTACAGGCAGGAACTCTTATGACATATCTCCATACCTCTCTTATGAAATTCATTGTGAGAGTGCACTGAAACTCTGTGGATGCTCTGTAAGAAAACTAAGATGAATGTCTAGGAAGCTCAAGGCTGGTTGTAACTCAGAAGAATTATTTGTAATAACAGATTGGCCAGATTCTCGGCCCTGAATTCCACTACTCTGAGGCCTGAGAAATCTCTAGGCTTGAATCTGCCTTTTTGGCTTTGGTTCTGCATGAGATTCAGAGCCCAAGGAGAGGCATGTTGTCCAGTTCTGTTGGAAACTAATCAAATACTTATGCTATACCCGCTCTTGTGCAATTACTAAAGATGGTGTATGATATATCTTGCAAGATTGACTTAAATGTTGAGATTTCTGCTCATAAATTTGAGGATTTGGTGCTGACAAATTTAAACTGAAACCTGTAGTCTGTTTTGCTACAAAACACTGAACTCCAGTTCCAAGCTAATCTTAATCTGTCCTCATACTCATTGGGCAATCTCTATTA